CTAGCAATAATTGGATAAGGAAGCAAGCAGGAGAGGCTCCCCAAGGTAGAGCAGACTTGTTGTAGCCAGGTTTTGCTGCAGCGAGCTTTGTTCACTGACTGTTTAGAATAGTTTCACTTTTCTTTTTGGTACTGGGGATTGAACTCATGACCTTGCACTTGCCAGGCAGGTGTTTATGTTGCTGAGCTAAATCCCTGGCCCTATTTTCACAATTTTAACAATTGGTAGAAACATGGTATTTTTTGCACTGCTGGGTGCCAGTTAAATATCAGTTCTCAATGAAATGATCAGGAAGGCCAGATGGAAGAAAAAGATGACTCATGGATGCCAGAGTGGATAGATGACTATTCCAGGGAATAGATGTGTTTGTCTCTTTAATGCTTGTCCAATTTTTTCAAGCCTCCACAAATCTTAAAAATAACCCTGGGAAAAGTAGAACATCAATTTCTTTTTCCCATTTGGTCAAATAGGAATTCAATATAGACACCCTATCTAGTTTTACAGAGATAAAGTTACCTTTTTCTAAATATGTTTCAGTTTTTGAGGCTGAAAATCAGAAGTGACATGTGTACATGTTTTCTTTATACAAATATGATTGTTGCTTTCCCTACTTAAAAATGTATCTATGATATAATTTTAAAAGTTACCAACTTATTCTATCAACTCATTCTATCTATATGGTTGCACATATTTATTGTCAGAATGTATCATGATTCATATGGCCACTCCTAATGTGATAATTTATAATGTTATAGTTGTGTTGTAGTGATCATGCTGCAAAAGCTAAATCCTGATTTTGATCTAAAATGTCCCCCAAAATGCTCAGGTTTGTGAAAGATGATTGGATAACGGGGATGCTACATTCATCAGTGATTTAATTCATTGGTGGATTAAGCCATTGATGAGTTCATAGTTGAATGTGCTGCTATGAGGTGGGGGCTGATTGGAAGTGGTCACTGGGTGCAGGAGTGGGGAGAGCACATTCTTCTGTCTGGTTCTTCCCTTCTTTCTCTGCTTCTTGGCTGCCTTAGGGTAAGCATCTTTTTTGCTGCCAACTTATCCACCATGCCATTTCTGATTTGAATCCAGATGACTCTGGACAAAACCATGAGGCGAAATAAATATCTCTTCTTTTAAATTATAGGTGTAGGGTATTGTGTCCTAGTGATGAGGAAAGTGACTAAGACAGATTTTGGTACTTGGAATGGGACAATTGCTCTGACTCTACTTAACCATCTGTTTCAGAAGTCTTAGGAATTGGTTCTTAGGACGAATTTGGAAAGATTTGGAAATGCCAACAAGAAAAGCCCTAAAACACTGTAACCTGAGCTTGGTGGGAGAGTCTGGTCAGAGCTCAGTAGATGAAAATGCTGAAAAAAATACATATGGCAAAGGCTAGACTCCAGAGGTTTTAGGCAGGAACAAGGACTCTATTAGTAGTTGGACTGGAGGCCATATGTATTATGGTCTACTTTTAGCTTGTGTTCTGAGACTTTTGGAAAACTGAAATTAAGGGCAATAGACTAAGTAATCTGGTGGAGGAAATTTCAAAGTAGTCCAGTATTCAGGATATAGCATGATTCCTGCTTGCTACATTTAGTGAGACCTACAGTGAGAATCAGGAGCAAATGGCAGAGTCAAATGATTTAAAAGTTTGAAGTTTTATCAGAAAGCAGCTGCAAATGAGACTATGGATAGAATGGTTGCTAAAAAGATTTGAATGAAAAGGAAGCTAAGTACTTTGCTTCAGGACAATAGGAAAGATAGCTTGAATGCATCTCAGGAATCAGCAAGGTTGTACCCTTTGCAAGTTCAAGGGTACAAACTGTAAAGCTTTCATCTGAGAAGAGAGCCCTCAGGTTCCTGGCTGGAGACCAGCCCTAGACATTTTTTTCTTGCAGTTCATTTCAAAATACTCAGCCATCCAAGTACTCAAAGGTTGTGGCAGCCATTATCAAAGGGGTAGGCTACCACTCAAGGTAGCAACAGGCCTTGGCATTATCCTTGTGGTGCTAATTTTACTGGCATGCAGAATGCAAGAGTTGTTTGGTTAGGGAAGCTTCCACCCAGATTTCAGAAGAAGATCTAGAAGGCCAGGAAATGTGTTCCTAATAGGACTCTATGAATCTGTGAGACTAAAGCCAAAAGTGTGGTGGAGACCCCATGAAGTTGGAGTTGCTGGTAACGTGTATCTTTTGTTGAGGAAAGCCTCCAGAGTGAGAGGAATCACTGCACTAGAGAAGCCACATGGGTTGCAATTAGAAGGACAGGGATGCCCAATTCTTTAAGAGTTTACTTCTTGCTGCAAATTGCCATGGGTGCTATACACAGAAGTACAGGATTGAATATTTGTCCTGCAGGGTTTTGGTCCCATTCCTTCCTGTCTCCCGCTGTTGTATTGAACCTAACACCACCAAAGAACAGAGAGGCACTCAAAGAGGTAGAATGAACCAGTTTATTAGACAAGCAGACTTAGAGGAGCTAGGGATCCCAAAGTCTGAGCCCTTTTGGTGTTTCTTTATATAGGGGGCTGGGCAGAGGGCAGAATGGGACTTGGTTAGATAGTTTTGTGGAACCCAGCCATTTTGGTTTTACATTTTAGCTTCCCAAAGTTTTGTGCTCCTCATCATTTCCCTTCTGGAATGAGAATGTTCACTCCATGCCACTGAATGTTGAAACTATATAACTTTCTTTTTGATTTTTACAGGGGCTCACAGCTAAGAGTTTACTTGAAATCTCAAAGGAGACTCTAGTATTGGACTTTTAAGCAATATTGGAACTTTTACAACTTTAGTGACTCTTAGAGATGGACTAGTTACAATTTGCATACTGATAGTGAGAAGAGCATTTTGGGGGCCAGGGAAAGAATGTTTGATATAGATGTAAAGTGTCCCCCAAACTCTCATGTTTGTGGAAGGTCATTGGATTACTGATGAGTTTAGGATGTGGGGCCTGGTTGGAGGCTGGTCACTCGGAACATGACCTATAGAGGTGTAATTTATCCCTGGCTTCTCCCTTTTCTCTCTCTGCTTTCTGGATTCCATGAGTTGATCACCTTTTCTCTGTCATGCCCTTCTATTATGCATTTTCTGCATTGGAGCCAGTCAAACATGGACTGAATCCTTGAACCAAAGTAAAGCTCCCATCCTTTAAGCTGTAGGTGTAGGACATCATATCCCAGTGATGAGGAAAGTGACAAAGACACATCTTTTATTATAAATCTGAAGAAAAATGATGACAAATGAAATTTCTGAATCAGGTATTGCCTAAGTATCAAAAAGGGAGCTGGGGATTTAGCTCAGCAGCATAAGCACCTGCCTTGCAAGTGTGCAGTCGTGAGTTTGACCCCTGGTACCGGTAAAAATGAAAAAGACAAAAAAAAAAGTTGGCACAAATTTGATATTCATACCAATAGTCTATGAAAATGATGTTTCCTCTTATCATTACCAAAACCAGTTATTGTACATTTTGATGTACAGTAGTATGTGGGTTCATAATTCCTTCCATGATGCTGGGGAAGATGGCCACGCTCATGCTCATGTGGGGAACATGGCTACAGTTATGTTCCTCACCCAATGGAGAGTTTGAGAATGGAAGCAACATTTTGCTGAAAGAGTCTGTTTGTGAACAGAAGTGTTCATGAACCAAGGTGTTACTGTATTTTCCAGTATGCTAAGAAAAAAATTACCTTTTAAAAAATGTTTATTTATTTCAGTACAACTGAGGTTGAACATATTTTTTATTAGTAATCATTTTGTTTGTGTATGTATTTTTGGTTCATATTTTTTGCCTATTTAAAAAAATTTTATTGTTCACTTTTTATTATAGACAGCTAAGTTAGGTAGAAATATCATAGGCAGTCAGGAAGGGCTAAACCCCTGAAAGAGTCAGTGAAGAAGTTAAGAACACCTTGTAACTGTGACTGGAGATACATTTGTTGAAGGTCAAGAATCAAGATAAAGATAGAATGGCTAGACCTACATACTTTCCTGATAGATAAACAATATACTATAATCAGTGTTACCTGGCTTAATAAAGTCTACATAGACATCGCTCATCTAGGTGGATGACTGGGACTTCCTGATTTACTTTAAAAAAAAAAAAGTCCTTGTTCTTTCCATGTACACTTGCTACATGACTTGTTTCCCCATTGGATCAACATCACCTAAGTGGCTATACTTGTAATCTTATTGGTTGTTCATAGTTTTGCCCCATGTTGTACCCACCTTTTGATTTTGTACCCACCTCATGATTTTGCTCTATAAATCTTCCTTTGAGAAGTGAGCTCATTGACAAATCATTTTCCGGGTCCCTCCCTGTCTCTCTCAGGAGCCGTCTCTCCCACAATAAAATTTTCTACTTTTAATTGTTGTTCCTTAGAATTTATTCTTTGCTTTTGGGGAAAATGAACTTGGCATACCTGACATTTAACAGATTGGGAGTTATATTTCCCCTATATCATTTAGAGGTCCTATATCATTTTGATATAGGATATAGAATGTGATATAGAAATCCTATATCATTTTGATATAGGATATAGAATGTGAGAGAAATTGTACTTTAATCTGTTGTACACATTAAATTTTTTTCTCGCTTGTTTTTCAGTTGGTTTGTGATAGTTACATGGAAATTTAATACTTATGCTTTAGTCTGATTGTTAAACCTTTAAAAAATTTTTTATAGATTCAATATTATTATAGAAGTCTTTTCTACTCTAGAATATTTTTATAAATAACTAATCATGATGAATTACTTTCACGGTTCCTTCTTTGTATTTCTTTCATGAATCTGATATATTAGAAAGCCATTTTGATGCAATATGTGTTACTGATCTAGTTTTCTTTTAAAGCATTTCTTACTGTACTTGTTCAATGTTGAGTATGTTGGGATAGGTTGCTTACTTGCTTGGAATCTTTCTAAGTCTGTATGAATGAGACTACTTAAATTGTACTGTAAGAGTAGTCTTTAGCAATTCATTCTGCATGTTGTTTCTCCACAAGTCTTGGCTGACTGCAATGAGAAAATCGATTCTACTGCAACTGGAACAGACTACAACTGCTTTCATGTAGCTAGAGAGTGGCATGATTCACAGTAGGTGAGATGGCTCTTTGTTCTAAAAAAATATCTTGGCAGACTTTCTGGGTGGGAAAGGTGAAGACTCTCTCTTCAACCACCTCACCCCAGGGTACATTCTGGAAGCTGTGGGTGAATTTCTTGGCGTGAGAAAAGTACAAGGAAATTGAGGGTCAGAGGCTGGAAGCTGGGAAAAGAGTCTTGGGGGAGAGATCTTGGGGAAGATGGCAAAGAGCCACAACAGAAGGGGGAAAAAGAACCGGCCACCAGTGAGAATGGGAACTGGCTTTTTAGATCAGTGAATTTTTTCTTTTAAACACACATATGTCTTTTTAAATTGTTGCTTGCATTTCATTATGCTATCGTCCCATTCCTGTCAGCCTTCATCTCCTTGGAAAGCCTGCTGCACACATGAGCACATATTGGTGGTGTTCTGATGGGAAGTAAAAAAAAATGGGAGTGGTATTTCCCCTCAGAGCCAAGAAAAATAGCGGCAGCTATCTGGGTTTAGAGAGTGCAGGAGAGAACGCTGTGGAGTGCAACCATCTGTGCATCTTACCCACTCCCCAACTCTCAAACCCCAAACACATGCACAGAAAGTCCAATCCTTGGGGGAAGCAATTATATTTGCCTGCTTTTCTTGCCCTATCTCTAGTGCTTGGAGTTGAGCTTGACATGCAGTAGTTTCTCAGTGAAAAAATTATTTGAACAAATAAATCCACATCTCGTCAATGGTTCTGGATCATATAGAGTGGGCTAAAGGTTTGAGCCAGCGCAGTTGGATGTGAACTGGCAAACCCAGAAGCTGAAGGCTTAGGAATCTGGCTTTCATTTGTCAGTCTGAAATACTGGCAGCGCTAGCGCTGGACTGTAATGTGAAATGTTCATGCTTGTGTTTGAATTTACTCTCTGTGGATAGGCCATTTGCAGCACTACATTGGTTGAAAGGCCTTTAGAAGGTTTACTTCTTAAATGGGATCCTGGTGGCCAATGGATCTTCTGCTGCACATTGACATGACGTTTCTTATGAATTTCATTAAATGAGTCACTCAGGTTGTTAAACCTACAATAAAATGTGGGCTGGAGTACCCAGGGGCACCATTTCAATCCGAAGCTTCTTCTCCCTTATGGGAGTCTTTTTCTTTGGGGAGTTGAAAAGACACAGAAAGGGAAGTCTTAGTTCAGAACTGTTACTGTAATCTCAGGCTCAAGAAGAAGTGGCCTTTGTGATTCCAGCCAGATGACAACTGGAGTTTGATGACGAATTATATTGGAGTGTTGGTTGCTTCTTCATATCTCTGATTCAGGTAATCCTCAGTGATCAGGTAAAACTATGACAGTTATGCATCGAGATGATCAAGTGTGAAATGCATCTGTGGAAGAATTCTGCTAATGTTGCAATTGTTAGGAAACTTAGAATTTGGGATGCTGTTCCAAGATGCCTACAATATAGAGGATACTTATCTGGTTAAAGGCTTGCTCACTTGCATGTAGCACTATGGGGGAAGTGGTGGAATTTTCAGAAAGTGGAACATAATGGAAGGAAATTAGGTTGGAACTCTATCTCTGTCTCCTCCCTCCCTCAATCTCTCTCTGTCTCTCTGCTTCCAGTTGTCATGAGGTGAACAATTTCCTTCACCAAGTGCTTTATGCCATGATGCCACGACTCTGCCACCAGACTAAGTGACCATGGATTGAAACTCTTGAGACAAGGTAAACGTTTTCTCCTTTTAAATTGTTCATCTCAGGCATTTTACCATGAGGGGGAGAGTATTAGCACAGGGTTTACTTACATTTAAGTATTTCAGATTTTTCTACCTTCCACATTTATTACAGAGATGATCACTGACATGCAGAATTATAGTATCTATAGCAATCTGTCACTCTACCATATTACTAATCTTAGAAAAATGATGTTTTACACATCTGTGATTCCTACCACATTAATAATCTTAGAAAAAACATTTTGCAGGAGGTGCCAGGGGTATAACTCAGCAGCACATGTGCCTGACAAGTAAAAGGTTTTAAGTTTGATCCACAGTTAAAAAAAAAAAGCAAACAAACAAAAAACCCTGCAGGAATATTCTTGAATTTAATGCTTGTGATCAGTTTCCTCATTAAGTTTTTAATATATGTTAAATAATCCATTTTACATTTTTTTCTGATAGAATCAGTGGAAGGCTTATCTACCATTCACTTCAGTTTTTAAAACATTTATATTCTCCCTTTTAGAAAACTGGGTAGAGAAGAAATAAATATTCCCCAGATTTCTGGCTTCTCTTCTGTAGGATAGCACTGGAACAGATTGGAAATCAGAGTTGCTGAATTAATTAGAGGAAACAAAAGTCAGATCTTATATTTTATAATGTTTTCGTTAATGTGTTCAAAGCATCTTTTTGGTTTGAGGTCAGCTATAAGCATATGATTTTCAGTCCATGGAGAAATTTATGTGTATTCAGACCTTTGTCTTTCTCCTGGCACTTCTCCATTCTGTCAGGTGGTTATTTAATAATAACATAATTTATTGAACTTGGTGCTGTTTATATCCTTCCCTAAATGCAAGTCATGCTGTTTTACCCCAGGTTGGAAAGGCTTAGCATTATCTGGGCTGGTTTTCCTAAACAATAAGAGCAAAGCCAATCATGTAGCCATTCTTTATGTTGTGACACAGACGTGATGGTGAACAATTAGTAGAAACCGAGGTGTAGATTGAGTTATATTTTTGAGGAACTTAAGTGATTTAATAGTTGAAGGCATGCAATTGAGATTTTTCTTTTGGAATGTGAAAGAATGCTCTTTAATATACTTTCTCTGTAAGTGTGGATATTTATTTTGTAAGTCTTCCCAAAATAAAAAAAATTTTTTAGACAGGGTTTCACTGTGTAGTTCAGGCTGACCTTGAACTCACATTGGTCCTCCTGCCTCAGCCTCCCAAGTGCTGGGATTACGGGAATGTGTCACCACCCCTGGTAAAATAGATGTTTAAAAAGTCTGACTCTGCTTGTTTAAGATGGACCGTGAAAACAATGGGGTACTCTGGGGCTAGCCTGTTTTTTTTTTTTTTTTTTTTTTTTTGTACCAGGGATTGAACTCATAACCTTGTACTTGCCAGGCCGGCACTTATACTGCTGAGCTAAATTCCTGGCTCTGGGGTAGCCTTTAAGGGCCAGATACTATGACATCTGATACTTGGAATCCATTGATGTCTACAGGACTTTCCCACTGCCCTATTCTAAGAAAAATATGTGTCATAACTGTAATTGCTTAAAAGAGTTACTGATTCTTTTAAACATGGTTGTTTGAGAAACCTGAAGTATTAAGTAAACTTCAAGTAAGTATTTAGCAAATCTTTGCTTCAATTGCTTTCAAAATTTTCTGGCCAAAATAGATCATGATAACTATGGAGTCAAGATGTGATTTTAAGCTAAGTAATTTAAAGAGAATAAAATTACATATTTGGCACCAGCATCATGCATATCATTAGAAATTATATAAAACTTCAGTAATCTGGAGCATACAAATCGGAATTCTTAGGTTATTTGAATATATCACAGTAATCACATAGAAATCAGCTCTTCTCACCTCTGGCTGCACAATAGAAATGCTGAGGCATTTCCTAAAAGTACTGATGGCTGGGCTGCACACCACCAATTCTGACTTCATAGGTCTGTAATCATGCTGGACCTGTGCTGTCCAGGAACCCCGTGTAACCCTGATGCACCATCAAGGCAATCACTGTTACAAAGCCTTGCAGTCACCTCTGCTGGAACTTGCTAAAAACTGAGACGCAGCTGGGCTTGATGACACCTGGTGGGCTCAGGATTTGGGAGGCTGAGGGAGAGGAAGAAATGATTGAGTTCAGGAATCTGAGGCCCACTGAGCACCATAGTAAGGCTTTGTATGGAAAAATACAATACAATAATGTAATACAGTACAGTACAATACAATACAATATGATATGGTATGATACAATGGTAAAGTAAAAAGCATTTAAAAAGAAAAATTCAGACTTTGAGGCACTACTCTTAACTTTCTCAGACTATGCATTTTGACAAGATCTTTAGGTGATTCATTTTCAGCATGATTTTCAATGACTTTAAACTTTTGTGTGTGTGTGCTTCTGGGATTGAACCAAGGCTCCACACTTGTTAAATGCATACTGTACTAGTGATTTACAACCACATACTTGATATTAAAAGTGCTGGTAAAGTCAACCTTCTATTCCTTTATTCACTCATATTTCTGTTCTGTTTATTAAGTGATGAGTAAGATTTGAGCTTTCTCTCAAGGAAATGCTAGAGCAAAGGGATGCAGGTGGGTACAGACAGCTCTAAGGAGAAGCTGCAGGGCCGAGCAACCACAGACCTGGGAGAAAAAGGAAGAAGGGGAAACCCCGTCCTTCTCCAGCCCATCTTTAGGAAGACACTTGGCTTTGTGCTGAATTCTTGAAACAGAACATGTAAGGCTAGAGGTTCTTGAAGTGTGCAGCAGCACCAGCAGCACCTAGGAAGTTGTTGAAATGTCACTTTGGGGGCTGATTCCAGACTGAGGAATCACAGACCCTAGGGGAAGGAACTAGTCATTGCCTGTCCGCCAGGGGATTGTGATATATGAAGTTTGAGAACACTGGATTGAGGAGCTTCCATGTAAAGGCCAGGGAAAAGAGCCCTGCAGACTGTTAGAAAAGTGTGCCCAAAATCACAGGAAAACTTATTCACAGCAGGCTATGAAGTTTGCCATGAACACAGTATGCTGACTTGCACTGAGAATTCCCCAGTTTTGCTGAGTCCATCTATATTGCTTTCATGAAGCTTAATTTTTTCCTTCTAAATCATTTGGTCATTAATCAAATTTAAAGAGAACATTTCTGAAAATTAAGCTCTGGAGTTGTCTGCAAACTTTTTGTTCTTATTAGGATACTAGTAAGGTTTCTATGCAAATGCCTGGGAAGAGCTATACATGAAGACACCCTCACTTAGTTTTAAATGAAACTCTTTCAAATGGTGTCCCTTGGGGTGGCATGGATTTAAACTGTCTGTGATCCTACGAAACAGGATAATCTGTTATAATCCCCAAGCTTTATGTCTAAACATAAATGTTAGTAATGTCGATTTTCCTATTTTAATACTTTCTTGTTATAATAACTATCAAAGAACAAAGGCTTTTACCTTCTTTTCTCTTCTTCTCAAGTTGAAGTGCTAATTAGTACCTTGGAGGCCAAGTGGAGGTCACTGAAGAGAGAAAAAGGCCTAGATAATGGGCGGCCAAAGGGAGATCAAAGAGAAACCCACTGTGGAAAGGTCTGTGGAGATCAAATGACCTGGCTGTCTCACAGCAGAGGCCTCTGAGAGTTCAAGTGAGTTGCTCAGGGTCACATTGCTAATGGGGAAGCTGGAACTGGAAACCACAGTTCCAAACTCCTTGTCCAGGGTTCTCTCTAATACACCACAGTCACATGCTAGACTGAGTCTTCATGGAAGAAAACGCAAGCTCTGTGTGAATTGCTATAGAACATAGTGACTGATTTTTCCCTTTGCAATCTACGAGGAGCTAGTAGCACACCAGGTGTCACCCAGTTTGATAACTTTATTGAACACATTTGCTATCTCCCAAATCTCCTTTAAAATGAGTGTGAACAGATGATATAAAGTAAATAAGAACATCAGTCTGTTCAATGCTGGCTTTCCTACTGAGGCCCAGGTTATATACTCAGCAGTCTTTTGAACACATCTGAAAGGTTTTTGCCTCAGTAGAAATTATGGTGGTGGTCTACCCAGGCGGAAGGCCAAAGCGAGAATGTCTACCATTTCCTGCTTCTTCCCCAGCTCCTGTTTGTGCGTGAAGAAAAATCCAATAGGTTGCGCGCGTCAGCAATGCCTGCCCTAAGTGCCACCCCAGCATCAGCAATGTTGCCCTAAGTGCCACCCCAATTGGAAATTATATGTACATCCCATGCTCCACGTTTCCAGCAGAGAAAGCCAGGTCCCAGTGGTCATGGAGTTCTCTCTGCCTCCTTAGAATAAAGGCTATTTGTTACTTTATATTCTCTCATTTATTGTGCTGAAAACCCTATCAACATCCATCTACATATTTCACATAGGAATTAAAAAATAAAAATTCTCCAAATTGCATATTCCCTTCTAAAACAAAGGCTATCTATGATGACCTTTGGGTCAGGATGATCATGCAAGAGATACTCTCATCCTATTTGACCCTTCCTATGTATCTTGCTGTTTAACTACTGGTCAGTTTAATGTTATTATTTGCTTTCAGTGTCATGTTTTAAGGTTTATGATGATAGACCAATTCCTCTATGGATATACCACCCTGAATATGCCTGATCTCATGAAGCTAAGCAAGGTTGGGGCTGGTTATTACTTGGATCGGAGAAATAAGATCAATTCAGCTTTTTAAAAAAAGGATTATAATCTTTAAGTATGTCGACTTCTGTAATTAGGCACTTAAAACTTTTCGTAATGTTAATGACAACCATGATCTTATCAGAGAAATAAGAATATTATTTACATTTTAATTTTTCTTAGTTGTCTAAGTCATTCAGTTATACTGCAAGACTGTAAGTAAATATATTAATGAATCTTGGGGTTTTAAAGTTTGTATTTAGGATGCTATATAAAAATTTGCTTCTGGAAGCAAGATACCACTTTCCCTTGAAAATGTGTATGATAGAAAAATAAAGACTTTTATTTCACTTT